TTATTCATTGTTTGCTGTTTGATTATGCATGACTGATACCTGAAATATAGTTGGTGTTGTCAAACAATTAATGTTTTGCTTCTTAGTTAAATAAGTGCTAGGAAAGGAGGGATGACTGTTTGAATGAATGGTAGTACATGCATTATCACAAGAGTTCACAGTTTGATTGCCTTGCTGACTGGTCAGAATGGACCTTCGCAATATGCTCTGTGAGCCTGGGTCGTTTCACAGCTGATTGGTTCATGTTTATAATTTTTATGGCGATCCCTTGCAGTTGTCACTGGAGCTGTGGAGTTTGTTATGCTTTGTGTATTGGACAGGATGAGTTTACACTGACAAACGTCTGAAGCATTCAGTTAAAAGTAATCAGCCTGGACCTTTTTCCAGCAACATTCTTGATACAGGAAAGAGAACACTCTCATTTTCTGTCTTGTTCTCTCTCAGATGCACATATGCAGTCTCTCTCTCTCCCTCCCTCCCTGCCTCCCTCTCTCTCTCTCACACACACACACACACATACGCACACGCACTCATGTATATATGTATACGTGTACGCACGCACACATGAAAACTCTGTAAAGTTGATCGGGAAAGTATGTAAAAATTTACGGCATTTAGGAAGAATCTGGTTTTTTTTTTGGCTCTGAAAGACCCACTTGCATATTTTGTCTTTCAGGCATTGAAAACAATTATTAGTTTTTCATAAACAGGGCAAGCTCTAGAGAAAATGGCAAATTTTATTTTGGTAAGGTCAATGTTGTAAAATAAAGTATCAAATTAGTTGAGTGCATGGCTTGACACTGTGAGCTGCGGATTTCATTTGGAATGTTTTCGACTGTGACAAACCTGGTGGTGTGAATTGTAGATTCAGATAATGGCGCAATGTCGCGCAATATTGGTGGTGTCATTATGTGATTAAAATTGATCGCGTGTGCAACTGCTGATCTGTTGGTGACTTCTGCTAGTGCTATCATCCACGATGAACTGCATTTCTAATGTCGGACTATTTGTTTTAACACTTCTGAAGGCTACCGTATGCTTTTGATGCATGTGTATGCTAGTGAATATGCTTGACAGCAGTCCATCAATCTTTCCACAAGGGACTGTGATAAACATTCTGTGTGTTTTTCGTTGGCACAGGAGCGGAGCAACTATGGGGTGACCTGTTTGCTATGAAGCTGAAACAAAGATTACCAGATTATAATTTTAGAGTAACAACTGTATGGACCAGAATAGTTTTAAAGTAAAAAGGGTGCCTTGAATAAAAGAAGTCCTAAGGAATTTATGGTGATAAAACATAGGTCTAATAAATACACAGATAAGTCAAAATGTCATACTAAACATATTTATTACCGTTGTGAAGCAGGTCCTTTGCAGAATGTCAGTGCCATCTTGGCCCGCAAATAAGCCCTTCAGTCTCTTGCCAGTACCACTTACATCCAGTGTATTTATTCCAAAGGTGTCATCAATATCTGTGCCCACCGTCATGTTGGAACAACTTGGACTTTTTTTTCTTCAGGAATCATGGAATTTAAATGTTTTCTTCTAAGAATGATTCTGTAGCATGCTTGACAGCCCAGATTGTCTTCTTTGATGAATACATAACAGTCAAAGACTAAAGGTGAAAGGCACCATGTGATCAAAAATGTTATGCTGTGTTAGCATAATTGACATCACTGCATGGTGGACATTTCTGAACATGCTCAGTCCTTGATGCAGCAGCCTTCAACAAGGTACACCAGCAATTAAAATCGTAGTTTAAAAAACTAGCCACTCAGGCAGACATCCAGAAAATGATGGTGGTGGGGCCTCCAACACTAAGCCAAGGAAACAATTCGTTGATTCCTGGTCTGTGTTACCAGTTTATCAGTCTTCAGTAAATTTAATTGCAAGACGTTATAGGACCGATCTCAGCAATGTTGCCTTTTTGTGATTTCAGTTAGCAGTTTTATGTTCAGTAGTTTGCCATTGCTTTCCAGAATGGTGGATGCTCAGCCAGGATAGTGAAAGAACATTTTATTCTCCCATCTTATACTTCATCTTTGTCTTCACCTCTGTTTAGTCATTACTTCTAAATGTACATGAGGCTGTCACTGCCCCCTGAACTGTCACACTGCCCCACAAATTTGATTAATTGGATTTACTGACCCAGTGCCCCACTAGGACAGTAGTACCCCTTCAGTGAGAAATAGTTAACCCCCTACCCCCTTTCCCCTAACTAATTCTTCAAAAGAAAAAAAAAACATTCAGGTTCTAAGGGAAATAACTCCAGTGAATGTGAAGTTTTATTGTTAATTATTAGAAATACATAGAAACTTTGTTGTACACAGCACAGCTGTCCTACACATTGCAGCCAAAATGACATCTGCCATTTTTAACCTCTCTACTTGTCAGCATTGAGGTAGCCAAATGACAGATACCACACAGACACATGGATTTTCAGTTTTATAATATAAGATTAGTACACAAGACACATATAATGCATACACACTCTTGGACACACATCCTGCATGTCTACTTATCCAAGTGGTTTGGGTCAATATCTTCAACTTTCATTATTTGAATTCAAGCCACACCTGTGTAAGACAGAGGGAAGGTATGTTTAGAAGGTGTACACTTACCTATTATCTTTCGTAGCAAACTAAAATGAACACAGAAATACATTTCTCATGGTAAACTCTCTTTAATATAATTACATGCCTTGATAACAAGTTATATCAAAAAATAAACAGCACAGAGCAGTAGCAGCATCAAGCCCTGTCAGACTGGTATAATAGAATATATATGTGACCTTTTCTGTCATCCATATGGTCTATACTCTTAACTATGAGAATGCTTTTTTTATCTCTAACTAACCTAGACGTAATAGGAGCGGTCCTGAGTAAGATCAAACAGTACTAGTGGCTACCCTGTCTGACAGAATCCTTATATTTACTGTTCAACCCCCCCCCCCCCCCCTTCTTCCCTTTCCAGGTTTATAACAGCTTCCTCAATTGTGCAGGCTTTGCCTCCAGGACGCCATGTAACAAATTAATCTGTTTGGAAAAGACTGCATTATAAACTTTGTGCACAACGTCCACAGCGAGGACCTGTCCTTATGCATCGCAACCACCAAAATCGACTTCTTTGGGCAACCAATATCGTGCCTGGACAGGCGACAATCAATAGAGAAGTGTCTTGTTCAACGACAATTCTTTCTTGTGTTGGTTAAGCTCTGCTGCACGGTGGTGGAGGTGTAGTGGTGTGGAGAATGATTAGTTACAACGGAAGGAGTCAATTGGTGCCCATTGAAGGAAGCTTGAATGTGCAACGATACGTCAGTGAACTTCTTCGACTACATGTCCTTCAATTTTGGGATGCCAACATATATTTTTTAATACAGGGCAATGCCAGACCTCATTCTGCACAGTTAACCATGCAGTTCCTGTCTGCCAAAAATATTCAAACCCCTCCCTGGCCATCCCTGTCTGCAGACATGAGTCCAATTGAGCACTTGTGGGATGATCTGCAAAGACGTGTTTGTTGTCGAGACGTTGCTCCAGCCAATGGTCGTGATTTGTTCCAGGCACTCCAGGAAGAGTGAGCATCCATCCTACTGGCCCATATAAAACAAGTGATAGCATCCATGCCCAGGAGATGCCAAGTCACTGATCCATGAAAGAGAAGGCTAAACACCATTCTAACGAAAGGCCGTACGCCTACAATTATTGTGAGCCAGATGCACACAAAAAAGGTGTCAATCGATTGGTGAAAACTTAAGGTATTTATGTGTGAAATTTGAGTAATTTCACTTATTGCATTACAAAGATGCAGAATGTCAAAATTGTATGTATGTTCCTCTCAGTGTATTTGTGTAACAAATAAGACTATATAGTAATAGAAGCTACACTGTGTAACAGAAATAAGATCATGTAGTAAAATAGAAGCTACACTGCGTAACAGAAATAAGATCATGTAGTAAAATAGAAGCTACACTGTGTAACAGAAAAAAAGATCATGTAGTAAAATAGAAGCTACCCTGTGTAACAGACAAAAGATTATATAGTAACAAACGCTACCCTGTGTAACAGAAATAAGATCATGTAGTAAAATAGAAGCTACACTGTGTGACAGAAATAAGACCATGTAGTAAAATAGAAGCTACACTGCGTAACAGACAAAAGATTATATAGTAACAAACGCTACCCTGTGTAACAGAAATAAGATCATGTAGTAAAAAGAAGCTACACTGTGTAACAGACAAAAGATTATATAGTAACAAACGCTACCCTGTGTAACAGAAATAAGATCATGTATTAAAACAGAAGTTACACTGTGTAACAGAAATAAGACTATATTGTAATAGAAGGTACCCTATGTAACAGAAATGAGATTATACTAGAGTCCCTATATAACAGAAATGAGATCACATAGTAATAAAAGCTATCTCATTGGACAGAAATGAAAACATATGGCTAGAGAAGCTACTGTGTGTGAAAGAAATAATAACATTTAGTAATAAAAGCTAGCATGTAACAGAAATAAGATTACAAAGTAACAGAAGCTATCTCGGGGAAAATGAGTAATTTAATTTAGATTTAGTCTGCATGTTGTTCAAAGGAGGGAATGCTAAAACAGGACTGTTATTGAGTGCGTTCACTCAACACCAATGTGACTGTTATAGTCCGTTCCAGAATGGTGCCCAATTTTAAGAATCTGTAACTCAGTGACCATTCAGTGTAAGTTTGGCTGACCAAATATCTAGTTTTCATTCTGTCATGCTTGCAGTATGTGGGGGAAAAACACAGACACACACACGCACGCACACACACACACACACACTCGAAGCAAATAGTTTGCAGCACCTATGCAGTTGTAAATTATAAAATCACAATGACATGGGAAATGTTAAGCCCCATGCACAGATTCTTGATCTGTCCAAGCGTTTTCAAGATTTTTGTTAATGTATGAGGCCATGACTTCTGAAACGCACTATAAATGACTCACTGAACGTTCACTAGCTAGTCGGAGTCCACACTTCCAAGCAGTTTTTCTATTAACTGCACAACTTCGCTTCGAATCGTCACATCTGGTTCCTTTTTCTTGTTAAGTATGCATCTCTCATTGACTGAGCAAGACTCTGTGAGGGAAAATCAATCAAGAACATATATACAATTATTTATTTGTGCTATTTATTAGCCTTCTAGTGTTTTTTATATTCATAAATATTGAAAGATGCCTTTTGTAATAAATGTATATTCATTTATGTTATACTGCTAGTAAGGAAGAAAGAAATGCCAAATATTGCCTATATTTTTGCGATGTAGACAGGGGAGTCATTGAATCTGAGAATTAGAGCTGCATGGCTAATGATGCTACCATTGACTGTGCAGGTGAGGTTTTTTTTGTGTGTATGCCTCCGTCAGAAAAAAAAAACAATCAAGCCGATGCCGAGGACTCGAACCTTAGTCTCTTGCATGAAAGCTCAGCCATCTTAACCGTTTGCCAATCGCTCATCCTTTATGTCACAACAACTAGCATTTTTTCCATTGCTTACTATTCAGTTTCCTCAAATCCAAACCCATTTCTTGGAGATTACATCTATTACAGTATTATTTCACTCTTATAAACTTGATTTTATTTTGAAACTTGCAAATGTTCTTGCACAGATGTCTATTATTTCATTTGTTCTCTCCTCTAAATATTGGCATGGCCCGTCGTCTTTAAACTTAATGTTTTCCCAGTTGTTTCCCAACCACCTGATTTTTAATGATAAAATCGCCCAACATCCTTTCCCTCAAAATGTCTTCATCATCGTCATCATGTGCCATGCTGATAAGCATGGTCGGTCATGGTTTCCAACACTACACAATCAACATAATCACGGATCAGATGTGTGCTTGTGCACCGCTTGACATATGTGGCTAAGTCATCAAGGTGTGTGTTTCTGTCCTTTCCGCCTGCCCTCTTACTATTAATGTTGAGTTATCACCAAATGTGATATCATTTAAATGTGTCTCTGATTATGACCGGGGTTTTTAAAAAGTAATATTTGAATATTGAATGTGTGCACAGTTGAAATTAGGGTTGCTGCCTCTGCTTTGAAGTTAGTGCCTCTGCTCGGAGGTCGGTGCAAGCTTTTCGTATTGATACTGAATGTGTGTCTATGTTGCCATTAGGGTGTTTAATGTATTTTCACCCACTTTCAATTGTGTGACTTCTTCAGCAAAAACTATTATGTGTGAATACATGTGTCTAAATATTGGATCCTTACTAATTCATGAGTATATAAGGTGCAAGAGCTCTTTGATCTGACCCCAGTGTTTTTTTTTTTAAAGGTTGGTCCTGGGACTTCAAGAACTGTAATGGATAAGTCTGGATATCTCACTTATTTCTGATGTGAGGGCTTCATACACCAATATGTCAGCTTTAATTTATCTATGTTGTGTCAAAGTGTCTCTTGCAAGAGGTTTTATACTTTTTCTCATTTTATTTTTGTATCTCTTAAAACTTATGTTTCAGCATTTGTTTTGGAAGTGTTTTGAGAATTAAAGTTTATGTGTTCATTTGCGTTTAAAGCTGAGTGAGGGTTTTGTTCTTCTAGGACATTCAAGGAACACAAACAAAGCAGTTTACTTAATTTATTGCATGGGGTGCAGAATGAAAAACTTGGGAATTAAAATCGGCATAGCAAAAAACGAGAAGCACACCAGACGCACCAGAAGACTTGTTAATCAACATAGAACTGGTACTGTTAGCCATCAGACGTTGGGGTTCATACTGATGGAAGGATCTGAGCACCTATAGAGATGTCCGAAGTGCAATGATGATAACCCAACTAACTAACTAACTAACAGATAAAAAAGCACTATTGAAAACAGTATTGTTACCAACATTGTGTTCATCATCATCATCAGGTGCCTTGCCGACTGGCGTAGGCGATCATGCCTCTCCATAATCCACGATCTCCTGCAGCATCACACTCCATACCATGCAACAAGACTGCCAAGCATCTTCTCTCGTTGTCTTTCCCTATCCCTCCTTCCACAGATCTTTCCAGTGGTCACAACCTGTTCTTTTTTTTTTTACTCCTCTCATAACATGGCCGAAAAATGATGACTGTCTCCTTCTGATATCTGTGATAAGTTGTCTTCGGGCTCTTGCCTCTTTCAAAACCCCTTGGTTGCTCTTTTTGGCTGTCCAAGGTATTCTAAGCATTCTTCTGTAAAACCTCATCGCTGAGGCCTCAAGAAATTGTTTGGCCTGCCTACCAATTGTCCAGGATTCACAGCCATATTTTAAAACTGGATGTATGTAGCAAGCAAGAATTCTTTTTCTAACTCTCAATGACAAGGATATATTGCACAAGATGTTTTTCATTTTATAAAATGCAGTTTTTTCCTGTCCTATTCTGTTTCTTATCTCAGTTATGCATCTTCCATCTGATGTTATCCATGTGCCCAGATACTTAAATTTCTGTACTTGTAACATTGTGTTACCAGTGCCAAAACATAAATAACGAATGAAAAATGAACATCAGAAATGGAATTTAAAAAAAAAAAAACAGTAAAGTCGGGAGATGTGAACCAGCGTCATTGCACACGGTTATAAACTATAAGTGCTCTGCCACCAGTACGGACAGCTGATAAGGATTGTCCGCCTGTATCGCCGTTCGCACGTAACTCTGTAGCTACAGCGACGTTCCTCCATTTACCCCAGAATGTTAACTCTGGTACCAATTTCCTAGAGGATGGGTGAACCCCGGGAGTCGCCCGGTTTCGAACACCGACCGTGGGCTGCAGCGAATCGCATCTGGATTTGAAAGCGAGCCTCTTATCGACTGCGCTAACGCGGCCCTAAGAGGAATGGAATGTCTACAACGAATGCTAAATATAACAAGAAACTAAAGGAACTAAGTTGTAACCAGAACCAGAACCAAAACCTCATTAAGAGACAACAGATCAGATGGTCTAGACATATGTCAAGACTAACACCAGATAGTGCGCCACCGAGAGCCCTGTCACTTGGACATAATGGAAGCAGTACAGAGGTCGACCAAACATGACATAGATAGACGGAATATCAGAGGTCCTAAATTCCGGCATCTACCTAGCACAAACCAAGGCCCGGATTAGAGGCCTCTTGAAAACCTAACGCTTAAAGGAAGAACAGGATTAGATAAAAAGAATACTGAATAATGAGTATTTTGAGATTATTTATTGGCCTATGCTTTAAAATAAAGTAGTGAAGTTACCTATTTAACTTGCAATATTAAACGGCGCAATAGTCGTACACGGAACAGGCTCCACAGAAGGTCATGAAAAGATGACCATTGACTAATAGCGCTAAGTAGACTTAATAGGCAGTAATGGTATCAGACTCCATGAATATGCTTCAGAAGAAAGCAACAGGCGGTATGCGCTCTGAATGGGTAGAAAGCATTAAAAATTACACTTAACCTCCCTCACTTGGATCTACACACCAGGTTATGCGGGCGTAAAGGAAAATGAGCCAGCCGACCAACTGGCAAGCACTGCACTAAGTATTGCGGGGTAAAGCAGGGACAGAGCAGATACCGTCAACGCTGTACGGACTGGGCTAGTTAGTGGATAAAGAGGAATCCCTGACACTAACACGATTGCGTGACATGGGAGTACAGCATGGTGAAGCACGTCAATGCCGTTTTCGAGGCCGCGATAGGAGACAATATAACCAGCTTCTCATTGGAAAAATTAGTAGAAGTACTTTGGAGTGGCTGCTGCATCGGAGGACTGAGCACGCATGGGAATGCCTAATGTGTAATGACGTAGATTGTTGTAACATAACATAACTAGAAGAGTTTAGGTGGTAACCGGTGATTACTAACGCGATGGCGGACTAGATAAACTTTTTTAGGAGCCAATACAGGTTAGTTTGGAAATTGGGTGCTGAAATGGGAAAACATGCAAATGTGGTTGTTTCGCAAGTATGGATGGCATTACAGTAACCTGAACTAAAACTAAAGCACTGTGTGCTACATTTGTTGTTATGTATTACCACTAGATGACCCATTAGATGATCTTGCGTGTTTTCTCTGGTTTGAATGACATGATTCTTTACCAGGACGAGAGGTATTTGTGTTCACTTCAGCATCCTCTTTTCTCTCGACTAAGGAGATTTGCCTACTTATATAATTGGAGGAGATATGCATGATTCGATTTGAGTCACACAGAGTTTTAATGCTCGCAGTCTGTCATATAAATGGTATTATGCGGGTAGTTTAAATGCACACTAATTCAGAATATATATCTGAATATAAAATTTGTCTGCGTGTGTATGTGTGTGTATGTAGCCGTTGTTATTTGATATTTCTGTATGTCTAATAACACTTTTTTTTTTTTTGCTCGATGCTTAGTAATAATAAAGTTAAAAGGCAATTTACTACAGCAGTAGATATTTTATGTATGTATCTATCTATATACACACATACACACACTGACAAAATCAAAACAACATAATACCATAATCGCAACAGACTCCGACTGCCACACAATGGCCTGTGTTATGTACCCCACAGGCCTGACCACTGATGGAGCATGGCGCTGTGTTCTTGTTTTCTTGGTGACAAACTTCACTTTCCTCAGTGTTCATATAGCATCCGAAATGTGGACTGCAGCAAACACTGGGTCCCACACATTGTCCCAGGCCACCTGGGCCGCACTGCATGCACTGAAATACATGTGTGTAAACACTACAGGGTCATTCAAAAACACAATCAAAAACGTTTTGGAAGAGACAGTTTTACATGTTACATGGGTGGATAAATTCTTTACAAGCAAAGTTGTCCACATTGAATCGTAATGTTATACGGAAGTACGCATCGATTTTACAATAAAAAGATGAACTCTGCAAAGCAAGACTTCAAGCACGTATGGACAAAGACATACACACAGTAGCGTGTACACATAACTAGTCAGAATACCTCTCTGCGTTAGGTCTCTTCAATTACTGTACACGTCTAGGCAAAGGTTCTGGATTCTGTTATGAAATATTCCTTCGTAAGTATAAAGTCCTTCTTTGGTGAATATAGGTCAGGATGTAAGTAATGGAAACCTTGTTCAATCCTAAATCTATTGAGAGTGAGCTATGTTAAGTATTAACTCACAGGTCAGTGAGATTTAAGAGTAGCGAAGCCTTTTTCCAGGACTAAACTATCAGTTGTTGCACGGAAGGAATCATTCCGTCTTCTGGCTCGCGAGAGTTTGAATCTGCAGCGTCATTGGAGACTTGGCTCCCAATGGCAGCAGACGTTCTAATGTCTTTTCTGTCAGCTTGCATTCATATGTTTGGAAGTCACCGTTTCAACCAGAAATTTCGTAACAGCATGGATAAGTTGTACTTTTATTAACCTAATGAAGTTATATTTTCCTGCTTCAGCGCCTAGACGGATGCAGCTATGGATGACAGGCTGAAAACCGCCGTCATGGGACGCATATTGAAGAGGTAATCCAACTGGAGAGTTGTACCTTTACTCGGAGGAAAGATGTCCCCTTTTATTCGTCTAGAGGCCGACAGATCTATTTGGAACATTGTATCCCTTTTGAAATGACTTTACTCATTTGCAAGTGATATGTAGGGAAATAAATATGGCACTGAGGTCTGCGGTTGACCTACAAAGCACAGTTTTCGAACTGCCTGGCTATAGATTGTAAACAACGGTAACGATGGTGGGGAAAATGTTGTTATGTGTCGTCTTTTATGCTTTCCCTGCTTGAGTATTCATATGCTCATTGTGTGCCTAGATTAGTATAGGTATTCTGTAATGGAAGGGAACCGAACAATCTTACTCTTATGGTTAGCAGGTGCAGTTTAGTCGGTTTCCAGTTAAATATCTGGCAGAGCAAAGTAATTCCAAGCTATCCTTGCTTGCTAGGTGAACCTTATAAAAGTATATTTGCCAGGTCTATGAATGCCAAGCACTACCATCTGAGCAATTAAAACTGACTGATTTATTATGTGGGTTAATAGTACATGGGATACATTGTTTACTAGTTTGTTTACCAATGCTTCCACTGTGTTCGCAGGATGCATACTGACCTCCTTGGGAGCTGTGTAAGGATTATTGTCCAATAGATCCAACTGGGTACAGCCATCACCCAACCACTAACCTTCAGCAATCAGCTTCAAGTTACCACCTAGCATCTATCAGCTTTCAGGATCTAGATACATGGGGGTAGGGTAGACAAGTCTCAGGGGCAATACTTGAAGAGGTGACTTATGGTGACACCTATGCCTGATGACAGCTGATGCAAATTCATCATAATCAAGTACCTGACTATAAATATACTTGGGAACTTTGTTCCTTGAACTGTTTATCTGAAAAGGAACCTATTCACAAAATACAGTTGGACACTAATTACTTACATGATGAACAGTAATTAAATAGTTAAACAGATATATATCTAGTGATCACTATGTTCAAGAACTGTTACCTAACATCGTATTCAAAATCGTATTTGGTGAATTTCCCATTATGGACTGAGGAAAGGAGCGGGCCCATCTCTGCCGATAAGTATTTCTTTTGTGAAACTGAGCGTAAAGCCACCCAGACACTTAGTGCCCGTAGTTACCATTACCCTGTTACACGATCGGTGCAGTGATGAGCACAACTGATGGCAAATCAGGAGTCATTCCTGGCAAATGCGGACCTTTGTTGGATATTGCTCTTCTTTTTGTCCTTTCTGCGTATTAATCCATTGAGATTCTATACAATTGGTTGCAACTATTACATCATGCATTATTTTTCAGAACTTACCGTTGTTAGTGTCTGGTATTTCACAGTTCACTTTCGTCAAGTTTCTGTGTGTATTTGTCTTAGGTCAGATTCCTGTTGGTACTGTGTTTGTTTGACTGGTAAGTTGATTCCCTCGAGTCTGGGAGCTATTAAGTGGTGAGCAAGTCTGGCCAATTCGTGCCCAGGTATATCTTTAGAAATTGTGTGGAGCCAAGGACTTCAGTTGCCTCATCCCCGAAGTGCTGTTGGCTAGTTGTTAAAACTGCAAAGACCTACCACGCCAAAATGAGCAGCCATCTCAACAATAAATCACTTGAGAATGTCTTTTATTATTAAGGGAAACCCTAAAAAAGACACGTGCAAGCTAGTCTCGTTAAACCAGACGAAGGACAACCATAAGTGAATGCAGGACAGTTGGTATCCAGGTCACCAGCCACTGACAAACCATTTTCTCCGTGAGCTCACCTATCAAAATATAATATCTAACTCTATTGTAGGCATCCTCAAGATCTAGTGCTACCACTATAATCTCCTATCTGTTCTGGAATCACTTATCAACATCAAATGCAAAAGTAGCTGCATTTTATCTTATCCGCTGCGACTTTTCTGCTTGTGGCTTAAGAATTTTTGTAAACTACTACCAATTCATTAAGTTCCTTTTCGTAATTTCTTTATTTTATTTCATTTTATTTTATTTTATTTTATTTTATTCTATTTTATTTTAATTTATTTTATTTTAGTACTTGATGTGTGGCACTGATGCAGGGAAACTAACAATTTTCCTTCTTTGTCTGCCTGTGTTCCTTCCCTCCCCAACTCCCCCCCCCCCCCCAATTTCCCCCTTGTCACGGTATACTCCCCTGTTTTCCCTTCCCCCAGCGTGACAAAAGAATTTACATGTTCTCTTTCTGTTGCAGGTTATCCGTTCTCTTTACGTTTATCAAGTCTGGTGCCGTTTCCACTATGAAGATTGCTTGAAATGGAACTCCACAAATGTCTTTCTACTGGGTTCTAAAATCTGACAGACTACCGTTTACCTTGTTATTTTCCCGCTTGTTTGTTAATCGATTGCTTCTCTGTCTTTAACTTTTATTGCCAACGTAAGTTTTGTTAAGTATCTTCTTTTTAATAACTTTTTTTTGGGTCTGCATAATGATATTTTAATAATATTAATTATTATTATTAAATTATTATGTTATAACCACTCCTCTTTTAATTTGTGTTGTCTTGGTATTTTGTATAACTCCCAAAGGAAAAGGGGGGGGGGGGGGGGGGGGGGGGGAGCGAATTATATATTCTTCTGTTTATAAATATTAACAGAACCTCAGTTACTATTTCAGTTTTTTTTATTTTTTATTATTCTGTTTATATCTAATCTATGACGGCATACCATGTGTACAAAACAGCCAGCTATAGTGGGAGATGGAGCCTGAAGTTAGTGCAGTGCCATCAGAAACAATGTCGCTTGTCGTGACCTTTGCAGGTACAGAAAGTCTACGTGTGTTTACTATTTCATTTACTTCCTGTATGCTACGTACGGTGACTGTGGCTAAATAATGAAAGAGAAGCCACAAAACTGGTTTCAGACCAGATAGAATGAATAATCAGGAGGCCAAATTTGTTGTCCACGCGTTAGAGGTAAATGGCTGCCCTCGCGGACATAGATTTAAAAAAACAATGGAAAGTGTAAGATTCTATTAGAAATCATAATCAAACTAGCTGTACCCGGCCACGCGTTGCTGTGGCATAGTTTGGCTAAATGGAAAAGACAGAAAATAGAAAAAGCACGTGTCTAATATGGTTACTGCGCACATACAGAGAAAGTCATCAATGCCCCCCCCCCCCCCCCGCCTTCCCAAATCCACCTACTGCTCGCTCCCTTTTCAAAGGCTTTTGAAAAAGAAAGACAATAGAAATCGCACGTGTCTAAAATATTTAATGTCGCAATTATTCTCTGCACAGATATAGAGATAGTCTGGTTTGCCACTTTAGAACACGCAACATATAATTGCTTCTTTATATTAATGGTCATTTAAATGGTATTGTTAACACAGTAAAAAAAATATGGCTATTTGGTTATCCGATGCTAAAGCTGTTTGCATTTTTTTAAAGAGACGGAAGTTAAGCTTACTACTGTACTTGTAAATAACCAAGAAAGTCGTTAAAAAATGAGAAAAGCGGAGGTAGCGTTAGTAAAATTTAAACAAATTAGGAAATTAAAACTTTAAAATCATGCGTTAAGCTCTTTAAGTTAACAATTCCTGTCATCCCCCTCTCCCCTCAACCATCCACCGAATACTGCTCTCTGCCATATCGAAGGATTTGAAAGTCATCACCCGACGATATTTTTTGTAACTGACGTTGATACCCCTGTCTATCCGGACTAAAATAGGGAGCAGGAATTGTAATGAGTAGTAAATACGGCTAGTGTATTATTTACCACACTATCCTTCAAGTACCAGTACAACTACTACCACCACCACTACCACAATAACTAAAATAATGTCACTGCTATCTGTTTCACCGTCGGAGTAGACAGGGAGTCGTGAGCCAGAGGATTTAGCGCCGCAAGGTTAATGCTGTCGGCACGGGCTGGTCAGGTTAGGATGTGTAATTTCACTCCCCGACAGAAAAATGCCATAACCTTACCGGCGGTCTCCGGCATGACAGCACTACGGTGTAACCGCCCAATCCCAACTACTACTACTGCTACTTTGAGTGGGTAAGGCAGTTACTTTGACTTGAGGCTCTTTCAGTTACCAGTTTATGCTACCCTCCCCACCCCCTACCAATTCACAAACTACTCTTTCCTTCATTGAAGTAGTTTGGAGAAAAAAAAAACCAAGTGAAATGCAAAATAAAACAGGAAAAAATACACCATAATTACGAAATGAACGCTAAGATAAACAACACAGCCGAATTCCATCGCAATGTC